GAGCAATTACACGTAACAAATTGTACATATCCTTATAATGAATGCGGCAACTGGAAAGGAAACATCAGAGGTTATGACAGCAAAAAACCCAACAGGAATCTGCTTTTCCCCAGGCAAACAGGAGAAGTTGGAAGGGCACAACAAGCTGAAAAGGAAGGTTAGTTTGACAGCAACTGTACTCACAAGGAAGGAGCCACTTCAACACAGAGAGAGAGAGAAAGAGAGAGAGAGAGAACTTCTAACTGCTCAACAAAATTGATACCCTTGGATTTCCTTCTGGAAACCCTCCATGCCATGTGCAAGGCTTTCCAACCATTTGGTTCCCTTTATCACTAATGTTTTACTTCCCTGTGCCTGAGCATTTGCCTCCAGACACTCCTACCCATGACCCAGTGCTGCAGACACCCAACAACCCCAGAGCCTGCAGCACACAAAGAGCCTCTTTCATGGATCATTACTGGGATTCAAATTAGCTGGTTCAAAAGGGCTTGGGAACCTTTGCCTTCCACCTACAGAATCTCAGCAGGGCTGTTCATGGCCTAGGAGCATAGTATCATAGGATCAGAGTATGTTAAGGGGTTGGAATGGACCTTAGAGATCATCCAGCCCCAACCCCTGCCCTGGGCAGGGACACCTCCCACCAGAGCAGGTTGCTCAAGGCTTTAGCCAACCTGGCTGTGAACACTGCCAGGGTTGGGGCAGCCACAGCCTCCCTGGGCAACCTGGAACAGTGTCTCACCATCCTCACTGGGAAAACTTCTGCCTAATATCTAATCTACATTTCCCTCTTTTCAGTTCTCCCCATTGCTCCTTGTCCTGTCCCTGCAGTTCCTAACCAAGAGTCTCTGCAGCTTCCCTGGAGCCCCTTCAGCTCCTGGATGGTGCTCTGAGGTCTCCACACAACCTTCTCTTCTCCAGGCTGAACAGCCCCAACTCTCTCAGCCTGTCCTTGTAGGGAAGGTGCTCCAGGGCTCTTATCAGCTTTGTAGCCTCCTCTGGCCTTGCTCCAACATTTCCATACCCTTTTTATGTTGGAGACACCAGAGCTGTGTGCAGCACTTCCAGGGAGGAGAATCACCTCCTTCAACCAGCTGCCCACACAATCCAGTGATTGGCTGGAAGTCCAGAAAATGACATGTCAAGGGCTGTGTTGGTCCTTGGCACTGGGAAAATCCTGCCCTCACTACCAGCAGGTGAAATCAAGTGCCTTGAGGTAGCTTTATGGTCAGTCTCATTAACTCCCAACAGTATTTTCAACTAATTTAATAGCAGGATTAGATTTCTTAATCCTTTGTAAGTAACCAAATCATGGATGAAAAGAGCTGAGCTCTAAAATTGCCTCTGCAGAAAACTGAGTTGATTTGGCTTCACTGTGTTTATTTTGGTACATTATATAAAGAAGGCTGGAATATTTTGGAATCTTTCCTTCAATATTACTGCTTTTTTGGATGTGAAAAATTAAGGTCTATTCAAAACCTTCCCAATCAACTCAAAACTATTAATTCAGAAAGAGACCAAATGGAACTGTGCAAGTCTTGGCTGCAGGCCGAGTCCTGGGTATAAAAAGGATATTGGTTTAACTGAGGCAAGAAGTTTACCACAAATTTAGAGTGGTTTTGTAAAATTAGTGCCTAGAAAATACTGAACAGTCTGAACACTTCCCTGAGCTCTCTAACAGTCTGTGGAAGGCTTGAAAACCAGTAGATGCTTTGCATGGGAAGATCATGGCAGCAAATTCTAACAGAGATTGTTTCCCAGGGTCATAGAAACACAGAATCATACACTGGTTTGGGTTGGAAGGACCTTAAAGCTCATCTCATTCCACCCACTGCCATGGGCAGGGACACCTTCCACCAGCCCAGGTTGCTCCAAGCCCTGTCCAACCTGGCCTGGAACACTCCCAGGGATGGAGCAGCCACAGCTTCTTGTTGAAATCTATTTGCTACTTTTCCTTAGTATCCTTTTATCCAATATAGCCAAGAGAAAACTCTCCCTTGAGAGCACCTGCACCTCTTCCTCACCACTGCAGGTGTTGCCAACAGCATCTTCCTCTACTCTTGGGGACAACCAGTGGGAATGGGATGGCAAGACCAACATTCCAGTGTCTCTCAGGGATATGCACTGGGAAGGGCATGAGAGAAATAAAGCAGTCACTTTCTATATGTTTAACAAGTAAAAGCTCATAGAAATTCGATTTTCTTTGCCAAGTCATCCTTAAATCCTGTGTTTTCAAGGATTCTTGGTTAACTCCCAACCCCATCAAACCACCCTGTGTTCCCCATTTCTCTCTCTCTCTCTCTCTTTTCTGTGAGCCCAAGGCTTCTACCACCCCTGAATCCAACAGTTTTTCCCCCATACTTACCCCCATGGAGTGTGACAC